AGGGACCGATGGAGGGTTTTTGTTAATACATTGATGAACATTCAAGTTCCCTAAGCCAGCTAGTTATTTAGTTATAAATAATGAAAATTTGTTTTTTGTAGAGATTAATAATGAAGACATTGTACTTTTTGATACTAGAGCATATAACTCAAAATGACATTATGTTTTGATCAGATTGGAATATTGTCTTCCTTTGAAGGTAAGTTAAGAGGACAAATATTTTAAGCCACTTATGTGTAATAGGTTTGTATGTGACCCTGAAAGTATTTCAATCACCATAATAAACGCAACAAAATCCATTATGTGCGTAACACTTGTAGCAGATACTCAGACCGACAGTAAATCCTCTGAAAGTTGATATGGGAATTACAAAAATGAAACAGCTGATATCACCACTACTTTGATGAGTAAAGACTGGAAAACGTTCTTCATAGTCCAATAAACTGACGTTCAAAATTAAGAGCAAAATAATGGGCATGTGTTACCTTATAAACTAGTGAGGAAAGACACCAGTATATCAGATATTTAGGGCAGACAGAAAAATACTATTATGTGAGTAATAATATACTGCGGCATCACTTGGTATCTACTAGTATCACATAAGTTACTTTTACTACTGTTACTGTATTATTCGATATACAGAGGAGACTGGGTAAATTAGAGCCACCTATATAAACATTGAAATAAAATAAAAACTACAAGCCCCATTTTAATCACAGATGTATTAATGAACTACAAATATTCTGTTCTTCAATCAAAATACGAGGTGCGTCCTCAAAGTAAGTTTCCCTGGGGCCGTTTACAGAAACAAAACACAATTTCATGGAAATATTTATTGCAACAGATACAGCAAGTGTCCAGCTATTTTTCAACATATTCGCCACCGGAATTGAGACATTGGTCATACCGTGGGACCAACTTTTGAATACCTGTGTCGTAGAAGTCGCCCGCCTGGGATTGGAACCACTGTGTGACAACCATCTCCGCCTCTCTGTCATTCTCAAAACGCTGACGCTGACCGGACAGGAATTTCTTGAGGTGTAGGAAAAGATGGAAATCACTGGGAGCGAGATCCGGGCTGTAGGGTGAATGATTAAACACCTCCCAGCTAAACTCCTGCAGGAGACTTGCTGTCCGTCGAACCGTGTGCGGCCTAGCGTTATCACTGACCGCACTTCACAGGCGGCGGGAGCTGGAATAAGAACCTCCATCTTCAACAGCCGCAACGATGCTACTGTGAGAACGCGGGAAGTACCGTTAGTGCATGCGCCATGCTACGTCATTGCTCTATCACGTACGCACAGTCGCTTCGCACAATATAAGGTTTGCTAGCTGTGGGACGAGTGGGAAACTTAATATGATATATAAAAGATTCAAAGGGTTGCATTTAACATGACCCTGCAGTATGGGGAAATGAAAACCAAAAATTTACAGCCATTAAATTTAATTAATTTAATCCGTGGCGTAACAGCTCCAAAGAGCCAAAGCCGACTAGCTGGCTGCTGGCCTCACATTCACATGCCTAATCAGAGGAGAATGATCATCCAACCAGATATAGGGTGACGTGTGGTCAGCACGACGAACCCCCAGCCATTGCTAGTTTTCATTGAAAGCAAATTAAATTCAACAGATCAGTACTTCAATAAAAATTTTGTGCAGGTCTAACTTATTGTCATACAATAAACACACACGTTGCAGTTAGGGATAAGCATTTGTGTCACACCAAACAATAGCCACAAAAAGTATGAATGAGAATTCATATTACATTAAACAATAATCACATATTTGAAAGTCTTTCCAAGTGGTCTATTCTTTCCTCTCAAAATACTGGTTTTCTTCTCATTTTAGGAGCAGAAACCATAACCTGTTTTAGTTTTACAATGTCCTGCAAGGTAAAACACTCAAGATTTCTGTCTTCTGGGTTGTTGCGCTGTGTAGTCTGGTCTATGTTTACCAACGGTTCAGAGGTCATACTGCCTCCGTCATCAGAGCGATGAATATTCAATATGACCTCTGAAACATTGGTAAACAGGGAACAGACTACACAGCGCAACAACCCAGAAGACAGAAATCTTCATACTCATCGCCCTGATGATGGAGGCAGTATGACCTCTGAAACGTTGGTTATCATCGACCAGACTACACAGCGCAACAACCCAGAAGACAGAAATCTTCATACTCATCGCCCTGATGATGGAGGCAGTATGACCTCTGAAACGTTGGTTATCATCGACCAGACTACACAGCGCAACAACCCAGAAGACAGAAATCTTCATACTCATCGCCCTGATGA